AGCGGAATAGAAGCTACGTACGTCATGTCATAACACAACTTACAGTTCAATAAACTCATGCGTCTGTTAAACGCTTGTCAGTCGTCCTCCACTCACTCCCAGCGAACCCCACTTCACACTATACAGTTCCACACACACACACACGCACGCAAGCAAGCACGCACGCACGCACGCAGACACACACACACACACACACACACACACACGCACGCACGCACGCACACACGCACGCACACACGAACGCACACACGTATTCGCATATACACTCGACACACACATGCACGTACACGCACGCACGCACACGCACGCAATCAAGTATTTAAACCATTAAACACACGCTTACACGCTACACGTAGACACGCATGCGAACTCAACTCGAATTTTACATAAAAATACCATTATATTTTTTTTATATCTATAACACTTGCAAGAATAATCTTAATGATAGATATCAATATATCTCCCGTAGCACTATAACTGGCAATTTACGTTATTAGCTGCCCATCTATCCCGGGAAAGCCACGCCCAAGAATATATAGTTCCTGCAACATATATCGACGTAATTCGCTGCGCTTAAGTGCACATCCGCCCATTTAAAGAGTGTGTGACGGTGGGAAGTATTAGGTTTGTGCCTAAGCGACATAACAGCCGCAGTGTGTGGTGAAAAATGAAAGCATATGGTGATATTAATCATTATTACCAAGTATCCTGTATCAGCGGATAGCGGTGACGTCATCGCGTTCTTCACGGAAAATAATTTGCTTTGCGAAGCCTTGTTATGCATGCTTATAGACGTACGCTTGATGGGCTCCGTGACAGTTTTCTCTGCATACCTCAGCGGCAATTACAGAGACCTATTCGATTTACATATAGAATTAATTGGGATTTGGTCAGGATGTAATCAGAGACACAAGGAAGCCATCAAAACATGTCTCAGATAGTTGTTTACACATATGTGCTCCCTGTACAATATATAACATATTAGTATAACTATAATAACTCATGTCGCTATATTAAATTTTAATTTGTGGAACATGTCTGGAGCATTTATGTAAGTAGATGGCCATGCCATCCCATAATTATTTATTCAAGCTTGTTAAGTATTTTTGGAGAGTTGTTTATGTGTATGAGCTCAGGTTCATTGTTTGCATCCAAAAGATGACTTAATATTTTTATTCATAGCGCATGTCTCTCCTGATGGATTCCATTGTAATGCTGAAGTACCGGTTGCATGTATGAAATGATTCGAGACTAAACTTTGGTTTCAGACAAATTAACTTTATTTTACAACGTTAAAACCAGGTTCAAGAGGACGCCCGCAGGCGCGCACTCGCTTTATAGACCAGAACTAGACTCTCTAATAAGGTAAAACCATATACCTCGTCTACGAAAAATTCACATACTAGATCGATATTCAATTTACTGCACATGAAATAACCCCGATGCGTCATCGGTAGAAATCTGACATAGTCTGATCGCGCTGCTTGCTCGCAAACACGCTCTACCATACAGGGTACTAAGCTTCTTCTATGTGAAGCGCGTGTTCTGATGCAAATAGTGAGAATGGCTACAGATAATACACATGTATACGCATAATTGATTGTAAGTTACAATCAATTATAACTTATAATTATAATTATAATTATATATATTAATGATATATTATATTATATTATTAATTATAATGTAGATTATAATCAATTATGCGTATACAGGTGCATGTATAGGTACGTATGTATACGTATATAGTTCTTGCTACACGATTTTTGGTATTTTTGTGTTCACTGCCAAATATGGTAACTTCTGAATTTTATTATGTTTTGTTTCTTGTCAGGTAGAAGGAGGAGAGTTCATATCGACCCGAGCGAAATCGCAATAGGATTATCATGTTGTAGAGGTGTAGGATAATTTCCTATAGCAGAATTTTCTAATGCTAAGAGAGTAGTTTGACGGTTGACAGTATACAGATGTTAATGTACGAATTACCCAACGCTACTCGTGGCATCTACTTATAAATAAATAAATAAATAAATAAATAAATATATATATATATATATATATATATATATAGTAAACAAGACATCAGTGATATATTTGATTGGGACTAATGCAGTAACATAATAACAATTCATGAACAGAAACCGATCTAACGCGATTAATCAATTCACAGCTCACAGAATTTTAAACGATGACAACTTGTAAAGTTTCCAGACTTCACAATAAGCTAAATATCCCCCCAACACTGTAGGCATGTACCTCTCGAGACACGATTGCACATGGCGGATATACGCGATCCGCGCATGCGCTCCGATGCACTTTATTTTGATTAACGTCGAGCTGATGCTAGTCGTCCTCGTGCATCTCTCTGCCTGTTATGGCATATACGGGCATACGTGACCGACGCACATCGCGTGACGTCATCGCTGCTAATCCACACCGCTGTCGGCAATTAGGCTGATGACAGATGGCATCTTCGACGCGTGCTTTCATCTATTGACCTCACGCCTTACCGCGGCATATATACCTGCTGCTTCTGCTACGGCGGGGTGTGCCATCGCGAGGCAGCGGAAGAAGTACCGGCTCAACTCGAACTACATCTCTACTCGCACGGAAACTGTGAAACACGCAAGAAACGGAATCGGGAAATATTCGTATCGTCGTTAGATCATTGAAATATCGGCTCGCGCAAGTGCAAGGTAAAAATCGGCGCGTACAGACCGGTGTGTGTGTGCGTGTACGTGCGTGTACGTGCGTGTACGTGCGTGTACGTGCGTGTACGTGTGTACGTTCTTGTACGCGCGTGCGTGCGTGTATGTGCGTCTACGCGCGTGCGTGCGTGTACAAACCTGTGTCTGTCGAAGGAAGGCCTCATTACCTGCCTGTGATTAAGCGCTAGTGGCGCAGATCGGACGTGCGCACGAGAAAGGTCGCTCGGCAGGAAAACTTGACTCGACTCAGAGACGGAAGCAATCGACAAAGAGCAGAACGATATCAAGAGCGCACAAAGAAGGCCCCACGATATTAAGCTAGCCGACAGACAGACTCGTTGGGGTTACTACACCGACACGTAGACACAGAAACTACACCGACAGTGCGCGTAGCTTCCGCAGGTTGCTTTTCGGCGACTCCGGGAATCATTCTACTACAGAGCGACCGTGAAACCAAGCAGAGCGCAGCGTAAATACTTTCTCTCTACGTGTGAGTAGATACACACGTCATTATTGAAAAAATCTAATAATAAAATCTCGTCTTTTGATGGTTTTTTACACACGTGTGGCGTGTTGGTGAAAAACACAACCTGCTTCTACAAACGAATCAAGGAACAGTCGATCGAGTTGTCGTTACGGCGTGGGAAGACAAGACAGGCTATCACAGAAATAATCAGGTATAGGAGCAGCTATAACACCAGTAAGCAAGTATAGGAGCAGTGGACGTAAAGAAGGTCGTGGGGAGAAAGAAGAAAAACTTCATCTATAAACAACAATAGAGTTAACGGATGAACTGCACTGACGAGATGCAGACGCTAAAGACAAACTCGCTCTCGCTGGGCGACCAGCTCTACCAATCAGTGCTCTGCGTGATGATCTCGTGCATCGTGCTGTCCAATAGCATGGTCGTTATCTCGACCAGACGATTCCTGCCTCTGCAGACGAGATGCAACCGCATCGCTGTTAACATCGCCATCGCTGACCTGCTGATTGCTTGCAGTGTAGCTGTCATGCTAGTGTACGACCATCTACCGGTCTCCAAAGAGGACGGCACTCCCCAACTCGTCTCCTGCTACATTCGCACGGGGGCGCCATTCGTCGTCGTCGTCGTGACGTCAGCGTCGCTGGTCGCCATCGCCGTCGATCGCTACGTCGCCGTGTGCCACCAGGGCAAGTACATACGCGTCGTGACGCAAGATCGCATAACGATCTTCATGTTCATATCGTGGATGTACTCGGCGACGCTGTTCATCGTACCAGCGCTCGCTACCCACCACCCGACCACCTGCTACCTCGAGACATTCCTCACCAGCTACCACTTGCTCGTGTTCGCTGTACATTACGTCGCGTTCGTCGTCGCTGCTGGCGCCATCTTCTGTAGCATCACGATGGCGGTGCGAAAACAAGTGCACGCCGTTCAGCCGATGCTCCGTCCGGGGGACTTCGAGGTGCACGTGCCCGGTGTGATGACAGCTGAAGAGTTGGAGCGGTTGAAGCAGACGGCGCAGATCGCTCAGGTGTACGCCGTCATCCTGGTCGTTACGGCGGTGATGACGACACCTGTCGTAGTGCTCTACACAGCGCTCAGCTTCAAGCAATGCAGCAGCGATGAGATGCTGCGAGGTCTCGCCATCTCGTGCGATATGCTGCTCTTCTGTCGCAGCCTCGTCAACCCAGTCATCTTCGCGTTGAAGTACAAGGAGTTCAACATCGCCTTTCGAAAGCTGCTGTGCTTGCTATCGTAAGGCGGAGATGTCCGAAGTTCCCCGAGAGAAGAACGTTGAGACGCGATCGACGTAGAACGTCGTTGAGGTTCCGGGAAGGAAGGGAGGACTAAGACAGGCTCGCGTTCTTTACCGCCAATTGGTTAGCAAACGCGTGCGCGTGTAGGGGGCCGCGCACACGTACACGCGTGTGTGTGCATGATGCGTGTATGGGCCGCGCACACGTACACGCGCGTGTGTGCATGGTGCGTGTAGGGGGCCGCGCACACGTACACGCGCGAGTGTATGGGCCGCGCACACGTACACGCGCGTGCGTGCATGGTGCGTGCATGGGTCACGCACACGTACACGCGCGTGTGTGCATGGTGCGTGTATTGGCCGCGCACACGTACACGCGCGCGTGTATAGGCCGCGCACACGTACACGCGTGTGTGTGCATGATGCGTGTAGGGGGCCGCGCACACGTACACGCGCGTGCGTGCATGGTGCGTGTATAGGCCGCGCACACGGGTTACGAGCAGACCGCCCAGAAGGCGATGTATAACGGGTCCGCGCTTATCCAGACACCTACCGGTACACATGCGCGTGCAGTGACATGGTGCGTGTAGGGCCCGCGCACACGTACTAACCGCGCGGTGTGCCATGGTTGCGTGTCAGTAAAATGGCCCGTCGCACATCGTGCACTGCGCGTATCGTGTTGTGCATGTTATGCATGTATGGACCGCGCGGATCTTCCTACGTCTGGCGACCCGTTGGGAATGACGAGAATGCCGGCTCACACGATAAGCTAACGCTTCACCACGCCAAAAATGGAGTAAAGGCTGAAGAGACTGAAAGGTTCAGCCTGTACCGAGAAATAACATCGTTCTAGTGCCGGTAGTCACACTGGCCGCACCACATCGTACAGCTGCGCGTGGCGAGTGCATGGTGGCGTGCATACATGGCAAAGGCTACCAAGTACGCCAACAACTGATCGGACATTAGCAGCAACGTGTGTGCATGGATGTCTTGGTCATTTGACGACGCGCAATCGACGTAGCGATTTCCAGTCTCTACAGGCGGTGTATAGGCCGCAGGCACCAATGTCGGTCGAACACGTATCACGCGGCGTGCGTGCAGAGTAAGGTAGCGTGAGGGGGCGGACTGTCGCACTATCTTTACACCCGGCGCGTTATGTGCATGATGCGTTGGTATATGGACGGTCGAGCAGTCGAGCACGTACATACACGCGGTGTTGTGTGCATGATGCGTGCATGGGCCACGCACACGTACACCGCGGTGCTGCGGTGTGATGGTTGCGTGTATTGGGCCGCGCACAGTAACACGCGGCGCGTGTAATAGGCCGCGCACACGTACCACTGCGTTCGATGTGTCTGATGATGGCTTGTAGGGGGGCCGCGTCGACGACGTACACGCGTGTGATGGTGCATGATCATGTAGGGGCCGCGCACGACGTACACGCCGCCGTGAGATAGGAAACCAGTGCGCACACCGTACACGCGGCGTATGTGCAATGATGCGTGTTATGGGCTCGCACACGTACACGCGCGATGACGTGCCATCGATGGCGGTGTATGGGCCGCGCAGCACGGCTACACGCGGTCTGCATGCGTGTATGTGGCCGCGCACAACGTACACGCCAGTGATGTGTGCCATATCGGCTTATGGCCGCGCAGCGACGTACACGCGGTATGTGCACTGATGCGGTGTATGGGCCGCGCACAACGTACACGCGTGTGTGTGCATGTGCGTGTAGGGGGCCGCGCACACGTACACGCGCGCGTGTTATAGGCCGCGCACACGTAACGCGCTGTATTGTGCATGAGCGTGTATGTGGCCGCGCACCACGTACACGCGCGATCGTGCATGATGCGTGTATGTGGCCGCAGCACACTGTACACGCGGTGTTCGTGTGCATGATTGGACAGCCCGTATGGGCCGTGCGCACAACGTACAGTCTTCAAACGCGCATGTGATCACGGTGCGGTGTAGGGGGCCGCCGCACACGTACACGCGCGCGCTGTAGGGGGCCGCGCCAAACGTAACACGCGTGTGTGTGCATGGTCGTGTAGGGGCCGCCGCGACACGTACAGCGCGCGGTTAATGTGCATGAATGCGTGTAAAGGGGCCCGCGCAACGTACACTGGCGCGCACGTGTGTGGTGCGATCAGGTGCGTATATAGGGGTCGAGCACACGTACACGCGTGTGTTGTGCATGATTGCGTGTAGGGGCCGCGACATATACACGCGCGGTGGTATCGCATGATGCAATGTATGGGCCCGGACACACGTACACAGCGGCTGCTGAGTGCATGGTGCGTGTCAAGGAGCCGCAGCACGTACGATAACAAATTCATCCCGTACACGCGCGAGTGCATGGGGCAAGCTGGTGTAAATTAGGGGCGCGTGCGGCACGACAGTTGCAACGCGTGTGTGTGCATGAGCGTGATAGAGGGGGCCGCGGCACACGGTACACGCGCGTGCGTGCAGTGGTGCGTGTAGCGGGGCCTCGCAACACGTTGCCACGCGCGTAATGCGCAATGCATCGCGTATGGACACGACGTCACATTGAGACCACCGCGCGAGTGTAGATGGGCCGCACACATAGCTACACCGCGGTGCGTGCATGGTGGCGGTGGCATGGTTCGAACTGCACACGGTACTACAGGCGTGTGTGCAATTGTGTGGTGTAATTGCCGCGCAACGTATCACGCCAGGCGTGTTAGAAGAACCGAGGACGAACACACTACACAGCGTGTGTGTGGCATTGATTCGTGTAGGGGGACCGCGCACAACTACGACGCGCGTGCGTGCATGGTGCGTGTAGGGGGCCTCGCACACGTGCACGCGTGTGTGTGCATGATGCATGTATGGACCGCGCACACGTACACGCGCGAGTGTATATAGGCCGCACACATGTACACGCGCGTGTGTGTATGATGCGTGCATGGGCTACACACACGTACGTGCACGCGTGCACGGTGCGCGCAGATGTAGATACGCGCATGCATAAGGTACAGAAGGTTTATACCTTGCATATCTCGCGCTTAGCTTTAACTCTCGAGGAATAAAATCCTCTATGAAGCTCAACAAAGCTGAAACGTATCATATCAAATGGCTCAAAAAGAATGAAATAATTATCGAATATCATACATAGTTACGCAGAGATTGGATGGAAGGATTGGATGGATTGGACTTGAAGGCAGTACGTAGTAATTACTAATATGAAGATAAGGATAACGTGGGGTCAGGTAGATAGCCACAGCTCTGGCGAAACTGGTTGGCTCTACCGTAACGCTGAAATGATGGTCACGTAACGTGGATACCTGCCTAGCGGTGGCAAAATAAGTGCTGATTTTCAGACGTGAAATCATAATTATATTTTGTGGCAGATTTTCTAGTAAGGTGTGTCAAATCTGTCCGTGAGTCAGTGGCCTGCTTAAAGCATTACACAGAATTTTTGCGCTCAATACATGAGCTTCCGCGCGCTATTTGTCGGTACTAGCAACATTGGCTTCACGCTGTAGGTAATCACGGCACGCACCTTCATGTGCACCTGTTGGGTAAAGCTATCTCTAATTACCAGCATCAAACACAGCGCTATTACTGTCGCATGTCACGCCACATCGGTGTTACGACATCATAGCAGCATGAACCACCTGTCTCCAAGATGTCGTGCGTAAAAGGTAGATATCCGCGCATTTATTTAATGTTAAATTCATTTATTTATCACTTGTATTATCACTATAATAAATAATCTGTGTTTAGCTTCAAGAAAAAACACTAAATTAATATCTACCCTGTTGTGGTTAATGAGATATGATAATTAAAATGATTTCGGAATTTCAGCAAACACCGCCTTTTGGCGAATATATATATATATATATATATGAATATAATATATACTATCATGGTTTAACGTCTCGTTTTATTACACATTTTCGTTGATGATATCGTAGCGTACGTGCATGTGTGTGCGTGTGTGTGTGTGTGTGTGTGTGTGTGTGTGTGTGTGTGT